CAAAGTTATTGAACATGTTAATTACACGTACACACACACAACACACACAAGAAATCCCCGTTCTGTATGATCGCAGCCAATAGTTGTTTGGTAGCTGTAATGAATAAAAGATGGTAGTTGCTAATAGGATACCAACAATGATCTATTTAACAGCAACATTTCACACCGGATGACATGAAGGTAAGATCCACATATGCTCAGAGGAAGATTTGGGTGCGTCTAGCTAGATTAATGTATTATGAACATACATAAACATAAGCAGTGATGCACTTAAAAACATAATGTAGTTGCAGGTTTTCTTTACATAAGGACGTTTGTTGATACCGACGGCGGTGATGCAGTTAGAATGAATATGGGTAATCAGACTGTGATATCAGAAGGTACTTGTGAAGGCCGGCTCCAGGTATAGCATCACATTTGTGTTACTCCGCAAGCCGAAATGGCTGGGCAACCAATAAAAGACAATTTGCAAAGGCAAATTGAAAGAGCATCGTCCAATTCGTGAATGTCGGGTATGGATGCATATGTACAATTAACAGAATTCAGTCATTGGTGAATGGAAAATTCACCTAGAGTTGTTTGAGGCTTACTCTTGGTGGTCAGAAGCGTTTATTATTTGCGTCCAGGAGATACTACATTAAACTTCGGTTATAACGAACTCAATTGACTTCTTTGAGAGGCATTTTAGAAGTTGTATACATGAAGGAAAACCGAGTTCTATGGATAGTCAACTTCTTTATTGCAATGAGTGCGACGTTTCGGTGTAGTTCGTTATACGCATTTCAACAACTCATCTATTGTATAAACTCATTCTGCATATATTGTTTTAATCACTCTGTACATCAACCTACTCTGCCCAAATCACTAATTAGCAATCTAATGTTTATCAACCTTGTCAGTTGTATATACACACTATACAGCTATGTATTATATATTCTCCATGTTACAACTCTTTGTATCACTTGCTTGATAACGGTGTTAGTACCTACACCGAAACGTCGCACTCATTACAATAAAGAAGTTGACTATCCATAGAACTTGGTTTTCCTTTTCGAACTCAATTTAATTCGTTGTGATTGTAGTTCGTTATACGCATTTCAACTAATAAGTTATTTGTATCCGTCAGTTCGTCGTAACTACTTGTAAAAGTTTCGTTTTGAATCCATTGATAGAGACACTGGAGATGTTGTCTGCATCCTTGGATCAATCTGTGAGATGGTAACACTTGGAATAGTTATCCATTCTTACTAGCACATATAGCTATTTATATAATGAAACAAGATCAGGATGAGAAAATACATTTACGGTATCACTTAATCGCCATGACGGTACGGTAATGAATCCGCAGGAAATCAGCACACACTCTGGTATGTTACTTAGTTTGTTGTCGACACAAACGGATCCGCCAATCACTCCTTCAAAGAACTAAACGACGTCAACTTTCAGGAAGCTTCAGATGACAGTCCGACACATGAAGACGTATATACGTGTAGCAGTGCAGAGTACGTTCCACCCTAGACTTTTGAAATACATGTATTGTTTTCACATATGTGTTGATGGAAGAGTATATTTTCAAAAGATAGTATACAAGTAGCTGGGTGCATGGTGGACTGAAGTAGCTATAATGGCCAAACTGATTGACGAACAGTGTACCCCTACCCCATTCCTCAACTTCCCTGTGTTGAAATGGAGATTTTGATGGAAATTGTAATGTAAACACATAATTTCACCAAGAAGTTGAAGATTCAGGCATGTTCATGATTAAATGCTTAGGTTCGAAAGTTAAAATTAGATTAAGATCATGTGATCTGGTGTAAGTCACATGACTGTCAAAAGGGAGATAACCTGGCGACAGGGGCATGTAAAGTTATGTACTTTCAGTTTGTAGTTCAAGTGATGTTGCTGGAATATTGCTAAACGTGGCGTAAAACCCAACTCACTCACTCACTCACTCACTCACTCACTCACTCACTCACTCACTCACTCACTTAAAGTTGTATCCTCATGGTTACAACATTCAACATTCATGGACTTTCAGCTTCCAGAATATGGTATGGTAGACACCTTAGTAATATGTGCAAATTTGGCAAATGATATTGAAATATTGAGTTTGCAAGAACTGCTAAAAGCTTATTACTCACACGCAAAATACCTAGATTTGAGACTAATTTAGATAGATATAAAGGCGAGTACATACCTCTACCCAGGTGAAAAATATTGATGAGTCACCATCAATAACACATCGTTCACATTTCTCTATTCCCATCTATATCTGAAATTGCGTCCCCTTGAAAGTAAAAGAGCAACGTATAATAGGCTACTGCAAGAAAGTACAAATACTGGAGTTCGACCTGGAGTTGGTGCTGCCACAACGATAACCTCTGTTTAGGTAAACGAATTTTCCGTCATGTTAACATTGTACAGTGTGTTGCACGTTTAGAAGACGCAATTTGGTTGCCATTTAACTGTTAACTTTACTTTTGAAATTCTTTCCAGAACGCTGTTAACCGGAACTTTCAAAGAAACTGTATGTCCACTGTGTCTTTAGCCTTTCCGATACGTTTGTTCTTTATGATTACAGGTGATGTGTCAGTTTCCAGTAGGCTTGTTCATAACGTTTCTGACAGTAGCTGTGGTATATACTGCAGGTAAAGTAGCCTTTGTGACGTTTAGTCATAATCAACATTGTACGTAACCAGCCAAATACACCATGCAAAGAGACTGGTTGTAATGTTTCTTTGAAAACATAATAATCAATAAAGTCAATTAGACTGAGTTTGAAGATTCGATTTTGCGAAAATATTGTCTGCCTTCGTGATCACTGATGCATATCAGATTGAATATGTAAAATGTTCATGTCAATCAACGAAATGTAGAATAGGTTCATACATGCAAGCAAAAAGGGGTCCTCATGTTCATAAAATAAACCTTCGTGTCTTGCACACTGTAGCCAAATCACCGCGACGTAAGTTTTCTTACACCATCCACACGGCCAGGGCTAACTGGTCTAAGGCTTTGGCAGAATGCGAAGGAAGAAATGGAACACTACTACAGCTCAACACTCCACAGAAATTGGAAGACTTTAATTACGCACCACACTCATGGACAATGTGAGTAAATGTCTCTTTACCGCACAATTCTTGTAAAAAACACGAACCAATTGTTTATGATTTTAAAGCGGTTGTTTGGTAGCAATGTTGTTAAAAGAGTCTCGACGTCACATCAAATATAAGATATCTCTTCCTGAGATACCCAATCACCAGCACACAAACCAGCAAATAGCCTTTATGTGGTGGTGATTAGGTGCTTTACTTTTTAAGAGTGTGGGTTCAAATGCCGGATAATAATCACTCTGAGAGGCGCGGTGGGTGAACTGGCTAACGCGCCAGGCTAGTGAACCAGCGAGCTTGAGGTGACGGATCGAGCCCACCTGTGACCGGGTGTAAAAAACCTTGGAGTCAACTTTGTGTGCAGACTCTTTCAGTGTTGTCACAACCCCAAGTGTACAGTACACAACCCTGTGCACTTAAAAGAACCCACGAATCCGTTGGTATATGACCAGATGGTGGCCACATGAATACGTGCAAACACCTAGTTGCGGTTACAGCAACGTGCAGTAACTTGGACAAAGTACTGTGACTATGTGTCCTAGTCCATCCAGCTGTGAATGGGTACCTCGTAAGGATGTGAATGCCACAATAACTCGGTGCGCCTAGTGGCTGCAAGAGTTGTATGTTCCCCAGGGAGTTGAGATTGACAATACGATGTGCCGTTGAGATTGACATCCAGTGAACGAGGGAAAAAACTAAGCGCCTTTGAGCAGCTGAGCTGAGCTGGATATCGGCGCTATACAAATGTTTGTATGAAATGTGTAATGTAATTCTGAAAGCAATGTTGTTAAAGGTTCTCGGTGACACATGCTATGCCAGAACTATCGTCGTGAGGCACCCAATCAGCTATCAGCTTTTGTGTGCCGGCGATACCTACTGAGTATGGGTTCAAATGTCTGATTGGACTCAGCCCCAGCAGTAGACTCTGTAGTTTACTGAGAAAGTGCAATGCAAAGTTTGTATTCATAGCTTCGGTCATGAGGGCCATGCCAACTTATACTTCCCAGAGGGACACACAAAGTACGTGGTCTAGAAATCCATTTTTTGTGGAAGCCAATTACTCAGTGACATTCAAAATCTTTATCTGCACGTTCTGGTTTTAAGATCCGAAGCTTGGATGGGTATGTTTGACCGATCTCCTCCGGATATGAATTACATATGGACCGGATGTACTACCGCCGACCAATCTGCTAGTTGGCCTTGGTACAAAGACGAACCGGACTTTCTGGATACCAGTCCTTGCATGAGGGTCGATACATTAGAATGGCGGACAACACCGTGCAACAGGAGATTGGACTTCATCTGTGAGAAATTTGAAGGCAAGTAAATCCAAATTGAGTAACTGTTATATTAGTATTGTTATATTATTCAAAATTTGATTTTGAAGAGTATTTACATAGTAGGGTATATATACCTGTAGCCAGTTTGGGACATCTCGTGGCTTTGTTTATTTGTAACTCCGCACTAAGGGATCATCCAGCAAAATTATCAAGTCTGCACAAGATCATTAAGTGACAGACATCATGAGGGATAATGTGATTGCCTAGAATGTAGTCAATGTGTGATCAATCATCTTGTTCTATGAATTGTTTACATGTATACATTCGTACACAAATTACCCTTTTGTCAAGAGAAGTAAATCGAGCTCATATATATCAGAGTAAACACGTTTCTGATCCCATTTAAAACTTTTGTAAATCGAAAATTTATAACAATAACATTCATTGTCATTCAATACATATGGGCTTGTGCAAACAAACACGGAAGATGCTAGGCGGAAGTTGGATTTAGAAATGTAATATTTTTACAGTAACGCCCCCTTTAATTATTTATCATAATATTGTTCTTTTAAAAGGGAATTGTACCTTCATGGTGCTGAACAACGTTACAATGAAAGGCAATGCTAATGTGAGTTTGGCTGGAGCTATGACCCAATCAGAGTGTGGTGATCTTTGTATCGCCTACTACGCTGATGAGAAGGAATGTGCAGCCTTCACCCACGACAAAAATAGTGACCAGTGTATGTTGCTCCTGCAGACAGATATCTACATTTCCGGATCTCCAGAAATCCGTGTTGACCAGGACTCCATCACGGCGGTCAAGAAATGTTATAACTGTAAGTCCATTGTACGATTCCGACTTCGACACAAGCATTTTGGAAACACTATTAGCAAGAGAAATTTTAAGGGTGTTCATGAGAAGGCGAGCGTATCCTGCTGCACCACCAACCCTAGTCAGAAACACAGGCAAGGGAAAGTCAACTGTTCATTTGAATATGCACGGGAAATACGGCACTAGTCAAAATAGGGATTTGGATTGGATATTGTTTAACATTCATGACGAGGTATTTGTTCAGGAATAGCTGCAAGCCGGATTTGCCCCTAAATAAAGACGTATTGCAACAACGCAAAATCGCTTACATCTTACAGTTATTTGTGAGCACATTAGAAGGTGTTCCTAAAGTGATGTTTTGAAATAGTATCATAGTAACATCCATGAAAGCAGAATGATATCTAGTAGTATCGACAATGTCTAAAAATGTGTCGATTTATTTTTCTATTCGTAATCTGACAGCACGTCATCTTTATGTTTTAGTCTACACCTCTGAAGAGTCTCTAAAGTACCTCGGCAATGTACAGAATCCCAACAGCATCTGCACCACCCTTAACTCTCAGAATGTACGTTCGGATGAACAAAGTACAAGAAGTGGAAGTCAGGTTAGAATAGCATCTTCTCTGGTCCCCATGCAGTCATCGGACTGGCAGCTCCTATTGCCGTCTCCGTCTCCAGTCGCTGGAATTACATTAATGTTTGAAGATACAAACACAACTTCCGGTCTTCCCATCGGGATACTACAGCCATCGCCTTGGGAACTGCAACCATCTTCGACGTTAATGCATCAAACCGAACCTGCGACACCTGCATTGCCGTCACAGACAATGGTTCAAGACAACGCTATTTCCTTGCATCATGATGATTCATCTGGATCTGAATTGCCGTCACAGACACAGGCCGAAGACAGCGCTATGTCCTTGCATCACGATGGCTGGTCTGAATCTCTATTGCCGTCACAGACACATGTTCAATACAACGCAAATACTTTGCATCGATCTAAAACAGGCGGACATGTACTGCAGACACAAGCTCCAAGCAGCACCAGAACATGTGAGCGATAATAATGTATCTCTTTTTTAATTTGTTCTTCATTTGTGCTATATAATGACATATTAATATGTTTACTTACTCCAATTGTGAGTAACATGGGCCACACTGTAAACAAAACATTGTAACAGCTTGGCTACAACTAACATAAAGGAACTTATAAGTTTATCTACAATTGTAGGCCGATGTCGATGTACCGTTTCTCACACTGGCAACAACACTCGAGCACCTGGCATGAATCTGACCAAATTACAAGTGGATCGACAAAAGGTATCGAGGTACAGACGTAAGCTCACGTCAGCTTCTGATGACCGCCCGTCCGCCCGTGTTGTTGGATCTGTGTTGGGAGTAGCCGTGCTCGTCACAGTCGGTGTGCTGATCGTACTGATGGATGTCGCTGTGGTCCTGAAACGCTGCTGACACACCTTAGATTTTAAAGCACTAGTGGCGGAGTGATGGAGGGCACAGATACCTTAGACTGGGAATATGGTAACCTAAACGCCCACATAGTTAGGTGGAGTGAATAACGTTGTACAGCTCAGCATGATTGCATTCTTATGTAGGTGGCACATTACGTCTACGTCAAGTATTTATGATTCAGTGGAACACAGTACTTAAACTTTTTATTTGGAAATTATATAATTAGTAACTTAATTCATTTAATATTCGTATATCATCGAATATATTAATCAATGTCATTATTTTGTGTAATATCTCTATATCTATTATATTTCTGGTATGACGGGTTTTATATTGGAGACGCGTGGTTCATTAAGACTTGCCAAAGCACATGTTTCAGTGGGAGTGTGTACAGAACGTATACTATCTATACAAATCCTGTATAACTGTTGTCAGTCAATGCACCATTAGTGTACGTATCTGTGGTGGTCACTGCTACCTCTAGGTGCGATGACGTAGTGTGTACATGTGGGATTCACTGCATGTTGTACCAATGTCGACAGAGCTCGGGTAATATACACATGGAAATACACTTTTGATTAGATTTTGAAATCTTCTGTAGTAGACAATAGAAATGATACCTGAGGAAGTATTTGCGATCTTCAGCAGATTGGGTTAAAATTTGTTACTTGGGATATATGTTGTTTGACATTTGTCGAAATATGTTTGTTTATGTTGTTGGTTTGTGATGTGTTGGAATAGTATTAACAGCGTCTTAACACAATATAAACAACATTGTTTAGTGTCAGTGTGTGTCGTGTTAAAGTGCTCAAGTATACATTGTGCCATTGCTCGAAATCTGACCAAATTGTCCAACTGGAAGTTTATTTGAGCCGAAGCTCAGCAGGATATACAAAGGCATGGAGTCGATAGAATCAGCTCATAGTTACTTGTTTTTGAATTATGTACCTTCTTGAGTGAGTGAGTGAGTTAATATTTAACGTCACATCGGCAATATTTCAGCCATATCGTGACGTGAACATTATACATTGAATATACCTTTTTGTGGAGTGGCACCTGCTTATCCTTTTCGGTAACAGTTGGTGTCCTCGTTTGTTTTGAGTGATTATTTTCGAGCGTTGACAGCATAAATTGTGAGCTCATTTTACTGTATTGCGAAGAAACTGACGTTCTTTCACTACAGTGACGATCGATTCGTGAAAGATTACTTCACTGTGTTTTCTTTCAAATAGGAAGCTGGAAAAAGAAACACTGAGATTGAGTGTCATTGTGCAGTGCGTTGTTCATATGTGCAATATACCACTGGGCATGTGATGACATTTTGATAAGACAAACATCAAAACACAGGCGATGAATTACAGGCAGGCGCTGTTTGTACTCTTGTATAACCTGGAATGATTGCTGATAGTATTTGTGTTTGAGTTTTAATGTCAATGTATACCTTTCCAAAGCAAATGTAATATGATTGTGCCTTCATTAAGTCCCATGCTTTCTCCTGTATCCGTTTGTCAGTGTACAGATGTTTTCATGTAATAAATACATGTATTAGAAGGGCAAAATGTCTTTATTCTTCTTGAAATGTTAGAGAATAATTATTTCAAAGTTACTTTAAGGTGTTTACTTCACCCGTGTATATTCTTTTGCATGATTTAGTGATCGACTGTTTGATATTCTTTGGAACCCGTGGGGTTTGTATTGACACCCTACTAGGCATACTGGGACCAAATGCTTTGTTCACTGAACATGTTGACGAAGCCTTGCTGTGATTAACAAAAGCAGAATATTAAATGGTGGTATTAATAATACTAGCTAAAATCTACACAAACCTGTTTAAAATCGTAAGGAAACTCTGGTGGAAGTGGAAATGATACCAAACAAAAATAACATTTTCTGAAAAAGACAACATAGTCCGCGAGTAGTATGAATACAGGATTTTGACAGATAAGTGTTACACACAGTGACCTCAGGATCACAGCTATGAAGGTGGGGTCAAGAGATGAGTATTCGAAATAATGGTCAGTATCCTCGTGCAAGAAAAAGTCACCTTAAAGAGCGGATATCACCCAGATCAGTGAACAACACGTGTATCCTCTGTGAACTTGTAGCATGCTTGGACTCAGAAGTGAGAATGTCAAACGTCTTATGAAGCCTCCACCAGTACCTGTTCAATGCCTTTGCTCGTCCGCTGTTCCCTGATACCTGATCCGACGTAGACTGTTTGACTGGTGGTCGTAATCCTTGTCGTGTGTGGTCTGGCCTTATGTTGACGAAACAGGGTGTTTCTTGAAGAAAGAAGAAACGAGACGAAGTAACCGGTCGACGTTGCATCGTGAACGTACATGGTGCCGTTCCACTAATCGATCTTATCTAAGATCAATCTTAGCAAGTTACGCCATTTTTACAATCGTCTTAGCTAAAAGTTCTACCCGTTCCACTAAACGATCTTAGGCCGATCGTAGCCGGTCCCGATCTTACGATCCGATCCAAGCTTAGATCGAGACTCTTCCGTGCGAGAGAGAAAGAAATGCGAGGCACGAGTTATCCCACTTTGCATAGTCTAGGAGACGATGGACGTAGCTTTGGGACCAAAGTGTAAACGTGGAGGAAAACCCTCGAGCAAAATATCAGGGAAGTGAGCACCTTGGTTTCGGGGGCAAGTGCGTGTGAACGCTGGGTATCAGGCATAATATGTGGCTGAATCTTGTCGATCAGAATAAACAAGGCGTGGCCTGCCTTTAGAATCCCCCACCAAATAAACGCACGTGAAATCAAACATATTTGTATCTTTTGTTTCAGAACATTGTTCACTTCACGACCCGTCCCTATTCTTAACCATGACGTTGCAATATTGTTGTTAAAATGTATTACACCGACTCCCTTGGCTCTGTTCCCATGACGACATTTGTAAGGTTTCAGTGCAGGGTTTGTTTACATCACAGAAATAAACAAATTCATTTCATGGGTTTTTTAGGGGACGCTCACGGTAAAATGCTCGCTATTCTTCTTCACATAGAATATGAAAGTCACCATTTTGGTTTCTCTACGATTGATTTTAGCGATCCTAAGTTGGCCCTGAGTAACTTAGACTTTGGATCTTAACTTTACGATTGACTTGGGTAAGAATGGTTAGTGGATCGGTATGCCGATCGTAACGTCAAACCTGGGATTTTACAGGTTTACGATTGGCGTAGGGCTAAGATCGGTTAGTGGAACGGCACCCAGGTCTGTCTTGGCGTCACCAAACCTATCTTCATGGTCGGGCACCTCCACCATCTGAATTGATCATAATTCTCCTAACAGTGATGAAGAACTGGAACCGATTCTCCTAAGAAGAGATAGCTCTTGGCTTGTTCCTGAAGTACGGCGCGTACTCATCTCAGTCTCTGACATCGATGTCCGGAATGCCATGCCGGCGGAGCCTCCCGGACTGTGTCCTCCCGCTCCAGCTCATGACGTCACCCGTCGTGAAACTGTTTCTTAGATGCAAACCCGAGCGCTGACGTCATCGAATAACCTGTTATCGTTTAATTTAGTGGGCATTTGTGCGATCACTTGATATTTTCCCCAAACTGTCATGCGTTTAGTTAAATCATATTTAGCAATAGTTTTGTCTCATGCAATCCAATAGTTTGTATCTATTTTCATATTTAACGTGAGTTACAAATAGGATACCACACTCGTTCATATTGGATACCACATTATAAGGAGATTCTCTGTATCTTGCCGACAAGTATCTATGACAATTCACCCACATTGCATATTTAGTATGTAATACGGTCTCTTAGAGTAACTGGTATACAGAATCGACTTATTCCTTTCAACGTGTTGTGTTCTGTTGGTAAGGTTTAACTTCTCATACACGTACCCCATCTATCTTCATCTGTATCACCTTTGCATGATGTTCCATCTGTGTTGACATGTCGCAAGAAAAAAGTAGAATCCTCAAGGCAATCCAACTGCTAAAAGTCACTTTTAGATTATGCTGCAATACATTCTTTTTACAACATGGTGACAGCCGAAGGCGGGACGAAGTTGATCACAGACATTTCACACTTTCGAATATGGTGCTAACAATCCAAGGCTCACAATAAGATTTTAGTTTCCAAGCCACGGTCAGAGGATGCTGGTACATCTAAGGGACGCCACTCTGTTCTGCTCAGGGTCCTGTACAGAATGTATGCCTTTCTCTCTGCAATTGCCTTTCACAATTGGTAATAGTTAAAAATATGAAGTTATGAATGCTACGTCAATATACTGCACTAAGAGCCAAAACGTCTTCATCATCTTAAGGGGCGGTGGGGTAGCCTAGTAGTTAAAGCGTTGGCTCGTCACGTTGAGGACCCGGGTTCGATCCCCACAAGGGTACAATGTGTGAAGTCCATTTCTGGTGTCCCCCGCCGTGATGTTGCTGGAATATTGCTAAAAGCGGCGTAAAACCAAAACTTAGTCAGTCATCATCTTAAACGTAAGAAAGGCCAAACATACGCGCTGTTATGTTGAGAAACATTAAGTGAAAGATGACCTGTGTATTATTTCTATACACCATAAATTTTTCACAGGCACGTGGCACAGCATAACACTGACATTAGTCAGTCAAGCATTAACTTGCGGACATTCAGTATGTTTAGCGATAAAGCACTAGGAAAATACAAGCAGACCTATAATTAACTGGTGTTGACTTCTGTGCATACGTAGTTTGTTTGTTATTGATAATATTTTAGTCTGGAATTTTCTATGCTATTTCATTTTAGTATCTGTGTTTTACAGTAATTCTTTTAAGTGACTTGTATTAGGAAACATCTGAATTTATAATTATTTTAGAGAATTTGTCATAATATTGAACCGCCATATAGCTGGAATATTGCTGAGGGCGGCGTAAAACTAAACTCGCTAACTCATAATACTGAAACTCGTTACCGAACTACTGTACGTATAATGCATTACAACAAGTCAGAGTCATCACGGGAATATGCTTGTATAATTTATGTTGATTTGATGTGAAGAAAGTATTTACCTTCGAGTAGATACTTAAAGAAGTACGACATTTGATTTCACGCGCCGTTAGTTTCAAATCAATACTTGTTTGTACTACTACACACTCCCTTAATGAGATACACATAATGAGATAGAAATCATTAAATATGTATTAAATATTTTTGTTTATGGTTTGTAATTAAGAATGAACCCCCACGTGTTTCTGAGTTCGTAATAATTATACAACGTAAACGCAAGATAATCGATCTAATATTTTCAGATAAATTCTTTTGAAAGTGATATAAATGTCTGTTGTTGAGCGCCACAGTATTCCAGCTATATAGCGGTGACATAAGTGCACCAGTTAGGAAACTATATGCCAATTTTGAATTACCTATATTGCCTACGTACAACTGTACTGATGTGTAGTCGGAAGAAGATACTCTTTGCCAATACTAAGGAAATATACATATGACAAACACCCCCCACCCCACCCCCACCCTCATTTGTCATAATGTCAATAAATAAATAAATAAATCTGGTATATTCAGAGAAGTAGACATGGCAATCAATAATGAAATAATGACCCATTTTGTTGTGCTGATAACTATGGCCGTATGACGTTCACAAGTGCGGCCATTTTCAAGATTTTGGCTTACAATCTTCAAGACATTTTACAAGTATTAATAACCGAGCACAACGTCGATATCTGGTGTAACCACGATCAACTGCACTGACAGCACGTACCTCCTCCTCACTGACTGTATGACTATATAGACGTTGAATTTGACGGTAAAGGCACCCATGAAAGGCCACCTCCTCGTGGTGGGTGCTGGGTAACGCTAAGCGCCTTTCAACCCCCCGTTGTGGACCCGGGGGGGATATTTTGGTCCACCAACCCGTTTGCCGTGGGTTGCGCCCCTGTGTCGGTGGAGGACGGGAGGCTGGTGGTTGAGGGCACTGGGAGCCTG